CAGGGTTTTGGCCATTGATCCGTTCGTTTCAAGAGTGTGCTGGATTAATTTTTTGTTATAAAAGTTTGAGGAGTTAGGGAAGGGTACTGCTGAGTTAAGTCTGTTTCGCAATTCAGTGAAACGTAAAATGCTTTGTATCCGAGATGTAAAATAATGTTGCTTTGTATTCCTTGCTTCTCATTCTCAGCTTTGTTGCCGTGAAAAAAAGTTGTTGATAAAGAGAAGACACTTTCGAAAATTTGAATTTCTCCAAAAATTGTCGCGGTTTGTTCTAGGATTGAAAATAAAAGAAAAATAGATTGAAAGCTGACAGTTGCCCACTACAGTTCGCCCACTCAAAATTCTTTTGATTCGTCAAAATTTTTTGCTCAAATTTTTGCATTGTAAAAGTTTTCAGTTTCGAAAAATGGCATGTTCTCCGAGATGTGAATAGCATTCGAACCCCCCTTTCTTTGGTTGTCCTAGTAACAACGAGCACAGCTTCTGCTACAGTCGTTCCCAGTACAGATTGCTGCATCCATCATTCCGGGGTTTTTTTTATTCTGATTTCCTAAAAAAAACCACTAATTCCATGTTCTGTTAGCGCACCTTCAAAGAAACTTCGTTTTCCCCATTTCTACTGAAATATTCAGTAAGATTGTTTGAAAAATACATATTCTGTGGGGTCAGGTAAAGTTTGCAGTCTGTGTTTCATCCCTTAGCTTCATGTTGTGAAGAGTGTTTCTCTCTCAGTATGCTTTCTAATTGCGAATGAAACAAATGAACTGTTATTTGATGATGGTTGAATTCCTCAGTGGCTGAATCCCTCCAAAAAAAATTAGGAAAAAATCTTTGGCGTCGGTCAGGTGTTTTGCGCGAGATATTCTATGGACATGAATGTTATTATTATTGTCATGTTGTGCACATTGTCTTAGAAACTGTCATCTTTTCCAGTTCGATATTATTTGTCTTGCATATTATTGTTTTAAATTTTTTTGTTTGGCACATTAATATTTTAAATTTTTTTGTATTTTTATTGCTTGTTTTTTCATTGATAACATATTTTTTAATTTTTCCTAATTTTTTTTTAGAAATTTTACCGCTTTAGGCAAATTTTATTGTTTGTTTGATAATACGTGATGGCAAAAGTTGCAGATTTCATTCAACCAGTGAGACAACCAATCCCTCTAAGTTTTTTTTTTTGTAACTGTTACAAACTCGCATCGAAAAATTGGAATTGCCATCAGCTTGCCTGCTGACCTTTTCACAAAGTGAATCATCGACAACTTTGCCAAACGGTGTTTGCTGTTGGGCGCTCGCTATCACGCGGAATATTTCGGGATGACTTTTGTTTAGCATGAAGGTTGCTGGGATTGACTTTTGATTTTAACTTTAAATATTTTTGCGGTTTTTTTTAACGAGGAAATTAGCTGTCCTAATTTTTAGAGCAGCCAATTTGCTCGGTAAAAAAACAAAGGAAAAAAGTAAAAATATTGCTGCAAAACCCCAAATATTAAATAGTAGAATGGAAGGATTGGTCTTAAGTGTCATGTGCCGAAGGACATTTTACTCTTGTGATAAGTCTGTGTTTCATCCCTTAGCTGTACTGAAGTGTTGCGCTAAAAAAATATCATATGGTGCGTGAAAAGTTACCTCTTAAAAAAGCAAAGCACAACGGCGAAATGGTTTAACCGTCAATGGAGTGAATTTGAGCGATTTTTATGTGCCCCTTCCATTTTTCGCGTGGATGTTTGATCGTGTTCACTAACAAATCTGTATTTTGCATGGATAATGCGCCATTGATTTTGCTCGAATAAATGCATATTTTAATTTTGTTGTTTTATTTTTCATTGCA